TAATTATACCGGAACAATCAGGGTTCAGAAAGAACCATTTGTGTGAAACAGCACTGAACATGGTAATTGCGGAATGGAAAGAGGATGTAGCTGACAAAAAGGTGGTGGTGGCTGGGTTCTTAGACTTGAAGCGGGCTTTTGAAACAGTTGATAGAGATGTATTGATGGACGTCATATATAAAACTGGTACAGAGGGAAAGCGTTGGAATGGTTCCGAAGTTATTTGAGCAACAGAAAGCAGAGGACGATAATTGGAGATGCAGTATCGTCGGTTACTGATGTAAGCATTGGTCTACCGCAAGGCTCAGTATTGGCACCAATCTCATTTATAATTTATATTGTGGGACAAATGTAAATAGTGCTATTGCGAAGATGCAAGAAGATTTAAATTCTTTGTATAAATGGTTATGCCATAGAAAGCTGAAACTGAACGTAGATAAAACTAAGTATATGATAATATGCAAGAACCAAAACATTATGGCTGAATTTCTTTATTCATTCTGAACGTTTGGAATAAACTTTTTTGTTTACTTATTCTTTAGAACGTTCCTGACGATATGTTAACGTATATTTCAAACGTATTCTGTTTATTCCGGCTGTGAAATGGGATTATCCGGAATGTATAAAGAAACGCAGCCTATAAATAATAATGACTTAAGCGAAGATTAAAAACTATGAAATTCAAAGAGTGAATAAAATGAAGTATTTGGGAGTGATAATCGATGAAACACTAAATTTTGGAGAACATATAGGTTACTTAGAGAACAAAGTTGCAAAGAAAATAGGCTTTATGTATAGAACTTGCGAACATATTAGTCAACATTAAAATATATTGGTATATCGATCGATTATAGAACCACACTTTATCTGCTGCCCAACCATAATACTATTAGCAAGTGATACACGAACTAAGAAACTATAAATACAGCAAAACAAAGCAATGCGATGAATATTAAAATGTAATTCACGAACATCGAAGAATACAATGCTAAATATGTTAAATTGGCTTAGTATAAAACAATCAATTAGCTATTACACATTGAAATTTATACATAATATAAAATTAGGAATGATACCAAATTACTTGAATGATAGAATACACTATAATACTGAGATTCATAATTATGGAACTAGAATTAGCCAAAATATAAGACTGCCTAGAGTAAGAGCGGATGTCGCAAAGAAATCCTTAGAATACGTAGGTTATAAAATGTATAATGAATTACCAAATGAGATAAAAAACTGTCAAAATATCAATAAGTTTAAAGAAAAATTATTTTTATACTGCAAAACGTTAAAAATGTAATATATTTACTTTGAATTAGGTCTTAAAGACCGTAATAAAAAAAAAAAATGGTTTTTGGCATTCCTTTACTTTTTCCCCTTATTCTCTTTTAGTGAATTTTAGTATTGTCACATGAGTCTTCCTGTTTTCACTAACAAACTGGCGCATTGAACACACTCATTGTTAAAACAGCTGATCTGCTGGTGTCGGTGCATCTTGAACACATCGCCGCATTCCCATTACCTAACCAAAACAAAATAAGGACTAAATACAATAACGATGTCCTGGCTTGCGAATGCCTTTAGGAGGGCAATTACCTCACCCAGCATTCAACAGCAACTTGTACAGCAGTGTACTACCTTGGCTCCGGCAGCTACTTCATCACCCGCCAATGCTATCGGTTTACGCCACCTTTCCTTCGAGGAAAAACGTGCTAAAGGACCTTTGATACGCCGCTATGGTTACAAGGAACGCCTACATCAACGGGGGTTGCTTCCCCACTGGGACAATGGACAAAAATTACCAATGCCCGAATATAGACCCAAGAATGTTTGGTCTGAGAAACGTGCGCTGTTCGGACAAAATGATTACATAGATATATTAGGTTCGGATCGTGTGCATCCGGTTCGTGTACTTTATTCAGTGCCCTCCTGGTTGCGTGGTGTTTCCGGCAATGAGTATCAAGTGTTGCTGCGTAAACGTAAAATGCTCGAAAAAACTAAGTATCCAATAGCAAGACCAACAAAGTGGAAACATCTACAGAAACGTATACTCTATCTGTATCGATTCCTTAATCGCAAAACGAAGACAAGTTTCTCGAAACAGTAAATATGAATAGCAGAAATAAATGTTTGCAACAAATTGATTTGTTTTTGGATGACTAGCTTGTGTAGGTGGGTGGCGTTCGGACGTACATTTTTCGGAGTAATGCAATAAAAAGTGGTTCGAAGAAATAAGCATATTTTGTAAGTTGTTGCACTGTAGCAGCTTTTCTTAAAATTATCGATCAATAAATTATTGCAAGAGGAAATTGTGCACATGTTTTATTTGATACTGTTCTTAAGGTCTTAATGGCTTGGAGCGCAGCCTTACGCCGTTACAACCACCATTTTCGTGTATAAAGAATTAAACTATAACGCAAAATGCGACCGTAATATTAGCATGAGATTAACTTAGTAAATAGATTTACTTGTCGTTACTTTAATAAAGGAAGGCCACTACTCATTTTGTTCTAAAATCGAGGTGTGTCTTAAAATCAGTACATAAATTACTCTTTGAAAACCTAACAGATATTGAAAAAAGGCTGAATTAGTTGCCTACTTTGCAATTATCAACCAAATTTCGTCTATTTCCCATTGTTCACTGATACGTTAAAAGACCATTTCATTTTAAATAATTTTTATTTGTTTTTACTTTCATAATGTTATATTTCATAATATATTTTTTCTTTCATAATAATTATACTCATTTTAATCATATAATAATATCGTAATTGTTAGAAGTTATTGTTAAATAATTCGTTTTTGCTTTTTTTGTTTGTATGTAGTATGCATCGTTCGACAAAAATTTACCTTATAACATTCACAAAAAATATGAAAATTAAAACTAGTACTAAATTCAATATTTTTAAATTACTTTAGATAAAAAAAAACGTTAATTAAAAAAAGTAATAATGAAACCTACATATATTAAGAATGGAATAGGAAGTATTGTTATTCGCAGATAATTTTTTACTGGTACATATTCGGTTAAAAAGCTTTTGATAATCGATTTTATATTATTATTAATTTGTATTAAATTGTAAACACATATTTGACTTAAAAACACCAATTAGTTTGAATTTGTATGTTTCGGAAATACTCAGGGTAAAATCAATTTTTAAAGTAAAATATTCTAAAAAAATCTCTACACTCTGAACTTTGAAAATCTTCTCGTCGATCCCTTTTAAGCTAAACTTGTGTTTTTAAACGTCTATGTTTTATCAGAGCACTGAAATGAAATTGTTTCTACATGAATTGCGAAATTTCAGCAGTTTTGAGTATTTTTGCCAGAATTGAGTAGTCCAATTGCAAACAGCGTTATGTGATTTTATAATAGTAAGCCATAAATTTAAAAAACAAACGCCTACAACAACCAGTAAAATCCAAATTGTATATTTTGTTTAATAATCTGAAAATTTGGATAAATAAGAGAAAATAGAAAAAATCGCAGTATGGTAATATTAATATTGCGAGTTTTGAAACAGTAACTGTTACATAGCTAGCTTTTTTTTAGCTTTTCGCGTTCTCTCTACTTCTTTTTTGCGACGTCTTCCTCTAGGCACCGAAACGACCACGTTTTATTGTAGTTTTCTAAGTTCATCAGAAGATGGAGACTTTCGAACATTGCTGGTACTACTGGTACGTTAACCACCCAAAAGTAAAAATCGAAAGAACTTTACATAGAGCACTTTGCAAGTGGACTACTCAATTGATAAAAGAAATGTTCCTTAGGAAAAAGGAAATAAGGAATTGTCATCATTTATAGTTTAGAAATCAAATATACTGATGCTTTTGCTTAAGGCATTTCTAAACACAGCCAGGCCTCACATATGAATGCACATATGTACATACATTCATTAGACTGGGTTGGTCCCCATAAGGAGTATTAAAAAAAAGTTAGGAAAAATTTTGGTTTGGCAGTTTTCAGGACTCGCCAAGGGCGATATTTTGTTTTCAAAATAGGGGAGATGGTAATTGCAATTTTTTTCGCCACCCAGTGTAATGTACATGCATATAGAGGTTAAGTTTTAATAAGCCTTTTTGGCGTGCCCCCATTTTTCGGGATCTTAAAAAAATCGATTTAGCTTTCATATCTTCGTAAATCGTGGAAACGGTGAAATCATTTTTTTTATCGTAATATGCAAAGCAATGATTGTACCTAGTTAAGTTTGGTCTGAAGGCAAACCGCGTTTTCTCAAAATATTACTTTTAAAACTACGCACTATGATTTGAGGATCCTACCCCTTAACCACGGAATTATACTTTGTCAAATCGCCATCGCATTACTTGTTTGATAGGCAAATTTCGCGTATAATGTGACCCGAAAGTGTGAATTTGGCTGGGTTCGAGCTACGTAATAATTACCGCAATATTGCAAGTTTGCTGCTTTTTCAATGCGCTGTTGCTGATGCTACACTGGCAATCTACTGAAATGTTGCAGAAATCGCGCAGCGAAAATTTGTATATTGCATTTAGATTACTAGTGATGAGCATCGGTTTGTCAAACTTGCGTTCTAAATTTTCGCGTAGAATGTTCATATTGCTTTCACAAACGTCCACAAAAAATGTTGCAAAATGCAAAGGTATAAGCTTCCAGGGTTAATGGGGAAGGCGCCTCTACCCGGCTGATTTATGTCCTCCGAAGTCTAAGGCTGACATCATCACCATCCAAGAAATGCGATGGGGACGAGGCAAGGCAAAAAATATTTGACCTGAAACCAGTATGTAATGTCGCTTTTAAAAGTTTTAAACACATATTTCGGCTGTTCTCGCGTCGAGGAGTTAATTTCCATGGTCGCAAGAATCGGAAAATATTTTTTTAAGTTTCTTACAAGTTTTTAGGAAAAAAAGGCTTTACTTTTGAAGGTCATTCCAAAGATAAAGTTGAATGAAAAATAAGCTTGACCTGCCTGGACCTGAAAAACTACTAACGTTGATGTAGTCCATGGTTTCGAACTTTTTAAAACTAAGGTCTATGATTATTGTGTGAATCATGGTCCACTTTTTTCTGACAGGAGATATAAGTTACCTTGGTACACCAAACAACTGAAGCATTTAAAAAATCTTTGTAATAGGCTTAACAAAAAATTCAAAGTGTCCCAAAATAATTCGTGCTATAAAAGATACAAATGCTGTTTGTCTGAGTTTAAAAAACTTGATAAGTCGCTTCGTAAGAAATATATCAGGAACTTCGAAAGCAATATAAAGACCAACCCTAAGGCCGTTTGGCCGTTTATTAAACCAAAGAAAAATAAATCCAACATTCCTACCTCGATGTTTTATAAAAAAAAAACATGCTAATTCGGCCCAAGACTCATCTGACCTATTTGCGGACTTTTTTAGTGCAAATTTCGTTAGTGATGATGATACGGATCCTATTAATCCTACAGTTTATGACTCATACGTATCTTTTGGCTTACTGTTGCTAACCGATTATGTGCTGAAGGATATTTCGAGTTTAAAATCATCCACTCAGACTGATGTAGATGGCCTATCTCAAGAACTGCTCTGCTCTCATTAAGCCTCTACTTTTGATTTTTAATTTATCGCTCTCCACGGGTACGTTTTTAGCAGATTGAGAAGTGTTTATACTACGCCTATTTTCAAAAATGGAAATAAGAGTGATGTTTCGAACTACAGACCGATTGCTAAATTGACAACGGTTGCTAAATTGTTCGAAAGCATTATCAAGGATAAAATTGCTTTTGCAATTCAATATGTAATTTGTCCGAATCAGCACGGCTTCGTTAAGGGGAGATCCACGATATCTAATCTTGCTATTTTTACGGATGACTGCACTAGAAGCTACGAGGCTGGGTATCAAATTGATACAGTATATACTGATTTTGCCAAGGCATTCGATAAGGTGTCCCATAAACTCTTAATTAGTAAATTGGCGTACGTGGGTTTTCACTCCGTCTTCCTCGAAAGGATCAGATCCTATCTATCGGGGAGGTACTCTAGGGTGCAAATCTAAGACAAAACATCGCGTTCTTTTCACGCAAGTTTAGGGGTCCCTCAGGGAAGTATCCTTGGACCTCTTTTATTTATAATCTTTATCAATGACATAAGCTCGTGTTTCTTATTCTTCAAATTTCTTCTATACGCTGACGATCTCAAAGTTTATTCGGTTGTAACGCGACCCGGGGATTCTGATTCTTTTCAATCTGGTCTAGATAGAGTTAACTCTTGGTGTGAAAGGAATCAACTCTTCTTAAATACTGAAACATGTTCTCATATGGTTTATTCTAGAAAGTCGAATACAGTAAGCACATCTTATACGATAGCAGGTACTAAACTGAAATTTGTAGATCAAGTCAAAGACCTAGGGGCTTATTTTGACTCAAAACTCACACATAATACTCATATTAATTTCATTGTTGCAAATTCCTATTCCACGTGGGCTTTTGTGCGTCGCAACAGTTCTGGTTTTTCTGACCCGTACACTCTTAAAAAACTGTATATTGCTTTTGTCAAGTCCCGTCTAGAATATGCCGAAATTATTTGGCGACCTTTTCATATGACGTATATAAACAGGATTGAACGGTTACAAAAGATTCTTTTTTATCAAGTCTGCGCTAAGGTTTCTCAACTTTACGAAGCCAATGCCGTTGCTTACTTTTAAATCTTGATTTGCTCGTTTATCGTGAATGTTATAACTAATATTGTCGATTGCTCAGAAATTCTGCGAAGAATACCGCTCAATATTCCTGTAAGAAATTTGCGGCGTTCTGACTTATTTTACGTGCAATCCGCAGAGTCGAATTATGCGTTGAATGTTCCTATTAGGCGAGCCCTCAGGGAAATCACTTCCTGGATCGTTTTAAAAAAACATAGTCTCGAATTACTTTAATTCATTAATTAGTTGATCACCAACTTAAATTGAAGTTGCATTTTTAAGCTTAGTCAGTAAGAAACTATGTATTCATTGACTGAAATGGAAATAAATAAATAAATACCAAATACCAAACTTAATGCAAACATTTGGAAATTTCACAAAAATTTGTAGTTTTATTACCATTAAGCTTTTGTATAATAAGTGTTAAGGTTGCTAAAAAATTCCGTCGATTTTTGATAATTTTTTTGCTGACGGTGTTACGCTTTTCCTTTAATGCAAAGCTCGGGCTTTATGGGAAAAAATACTTATACCGTCTGAAAAAAAATTTAATGCCTTGCCATACCAAAATTTGGAATTTTCATAATTTTAGTGCTAAGTTTGAAATTTGGACTTACATAATGAGTTATAATTTTATAAAAAAATATTGCACAT